TTACCCCCGTTGATTAACAACTTAATAGAAAATAACTAAACTTACTTTAAAATATCATATTTTTGATGAAGTACTGCTAGATGTACACATGTTCTTCCAAATGAATCTTTTGTAGAATAAATATTCGGTTGTAATTTTAATATTAATTTTAATTTTTCAAAATTATTCTCGATAATTGTTTGTAAAAAATTAAACATTAATACTGGTAATGAACGATATAATTTTAATGAACGTAATAATTTATAAACATATCTTGTCATTAATAATGTTTTATTTTTACAAAATATTAATAAATAATAACCGAAATTATTCAAAATAAATTGTTCAATAATTTTATCATTTTTTAATTGTGAAATTAATAAATTCATAATAATATCATAGAATGGTCGTAATTTATTATGCATTGATATTGATTGTGTCGATTCAATAATATCAACAATGGTTTGTTCGAGTTCATTACGTTGTGTTAAAATTAATGGATTTTTATAAATAATATTTGAAAATATTTTTAAATATTCCGTATTTTCTTTTAATGAATATAAATAGATAAGATGAAATAAAATTGTTTCACCTTTAGCTGATTTCATTGACATATTTGAATTCAATAAAATATTATCACGGATATTATAAGTAATAAATTCATCGAAACAATGAAAAAAAAATGGTAAACCATCAGTACATAATATATTAACATCATATTTTATTATTGATGAATGAAATAACATTTCAAATGGTTTCGAACATTGAGTATCAAGACAATATTCTAATAGAGATTTGGAATATCTTCGAACATCTGTTAATCGATGTATTGTATCTAATGGATAGATTTGTAATGAATTCTTATCATGTTCATAGATAAGTGATGCTCGATCCCAATCACATGCTAATATTGAATGAACGAATTCTGTTGTAATTTGATAATTAGCAAGAATATCAATGATTGATTGACAATTTAAATCACAAGCTTTATCTAATAATGTTTTATTTGAATTATGTTTACAATCAACTTTAATAAAACCTAAAAATTATATTTTATATGTATAGAAATTATTAGTATTGTTATTTATTTACCAGTCATTAATCGTTCACTTTCTTGTGTATTGCATGTTTCGATAGCAGTCCAAATACCTTCACCATAAGCTTTATAGAAAGCTTTTAATTGTGGTTTATTTTTTATATAAACATCCGCTGTTTTTCCTTCATGATTAACTATACGTGGATCAACTCCAACACGAAATAAAGCCTAGAACATACATAGATAAACATAAGTTTTCATTTTACATCAACAATATTTGTAACAAAATCAGAAAAGTTTGTTAGTCATAGTTTCATATTACTCTAAATATATTTTTCTCGACATACCTGAATTAAATTAAAATTATTATCATCAAAAGTTTGAATAATAGCTTCATGTAAAGGTGTGTTACCCATTCCATCTGTTACATTTGGATCAGCACCAGCATTACTCAATGCATAGATCATTCGAAAACCAATACTGCAAAGCATAAAAACAAAGAACGATAGATTCATTCATATTAAATAAATCAATGTATACTTGTATTGACTGTGACTATTTCGACAAATAACATGATAATAAGAACCTTCAATTGGATGAGTAAAATCTACTAAATCAGGTTGTTCATGAAGTAATGAATTGAGTTCTTGTAAAGTTGTATCCGAATAATTTGATGGATTAGAAAGGATTTTATATAGATGATTTTTATAAAATCGATCAGTTTTTGGAGGCATTCCGAATAGGTTGTTATCGTTTAACTTTGAACACTCTAGAATGAAAAATGAATAAGAAAAAGAAAAAAATAGAAGTTTTAATTATTTATCGGTAAATATTTGAATTCGATATGAGATTTTGAAATGGGAAATGTTTGATAAATATGTTGTTAAGAAAAGAGAAAATTTAATGTTGATAGATACGAACACTTCATTATTAGAAAAGAAAAAAAACAGTCATTTCTTTTAGATTTTTCTGATAAAGACACTGAATATTGAGAAAATATTTACATTTATTATTTACTCATTTTTATAAAAGTATATAGATAGAAATACTTTGGCGTCATCGATACTTCCTCTTATTTTCTTTTGTTGTATCGATGACAAAAAGAGTTTTCTCCTCTTAAATATACATTAATTTTCAAAAAGAAAAAAAATAATACCATTTAAATAGTTCAAGAGTCTAAAAGGTTTATTTTATGATAAAATGAAGGCAAAAGAATATCTTTTTTTTTGTAGACGATGAATATTTTCTTAATGTAATTCTATTGAAACATTCTTGAGAAAAACTAACGTAAATAAATAGAAGAATAATCTACTATTTTAAAAGAAAAGGACATTTCATACCAAATAGTACTTTGACAAAAAATATGTCTCAGTATTTATTTTTAGAAGTGTTAATAAGTTCTTTATAAATAATTTTCATCAATTATAATCATAATAATTGTGTATCTTTTTGTTGAAATGAATATCAACTTAGTATCATCTTATTTGTGTTAGTTACATTCATTGATAGAAAAATAAAAAAATATTTTCTCTTGATACAGTATTTCTTTTCAAAAATAAATTCTACAATTCATATTTTAATGCCATCTTCATCAGCTGAATTGCTGCAAAAAAAACCTTATCAACTGTACTACTAAGTAACCCAGACCACAATTTATTATTTAATATATTTTTTTGTTGTGAATGATGTGAGACAATGACGTCAGCTTTGTTTGTCTACGGCTGCTCAAACATGAAAAGAATGTGTTTTTTTTTCTTTTCTTTTTGACTATTATCATTTATAATACATGTGATATGTAAAGGCAACGCCCAAATATCGATTAGATTTATTTAGATAAAAAAGATGCAGTTATAAAAAAAAGTGTAAGATTCTTGAGCATGAATATTTATTATTAGTAGTTAAGCAATTTTTGGTTCTGATACAACATTGCCATTTTCATCGTAGAAAACACGTACACGATCATGTCTTTCATCTGTTGTTACTGGTGAACCATCTTCTAATTTAATAACATGAAAATCTATCAAAAAATACATAATATATTTATTTGTCGATTTCAATGATAACTAATTGTTCTGTCTTACTTGAATTTTCTTTTTTAATTGCTTCAACAGCTTCATCAGCTGGTTTGCCAACAAGATTAGCCCAAGATTTGTGGTTGCTTGACATATTTCTTAGTTACGAATATTAAATAATGAAAAAATGTAATTGCACTCTCTAGTTGCTGTTTAAATAATGGTCGATCGCTTGTGAAAAATATTTTTTTTTATCTAACTATAGGACGAAAAGTATATCCTGTGAGTTCGAATACTATTTACTCGTTCTCTCTCTTTCTGACTAATGTATATGACGTTATCTTTAATTAATATGACAAGCGAATAACATATACAGTCAGTGATAATAACCATTTGTAAGGACAAACAAAGAGTGATCCTTTTCATTTTTTGTTTTGAATGAGTTTATCTATATTTAAAATAAAATTTAAAGTACAATAAAGATTGAAAACAATATGAATATGTAAACTACAGTTTACGAATAGATATTTAATAACTTGCATTTTTTAAAATCCTTTTACTCCTAATGATGTATATATACATCTCATAATATTCTACGTGATATACAGTACTTCTTAGGTGATTGTGATTCATGTATTAAAATTTGAGTATTGTTTTAGTCTTATTTTCTTATGGATTATAAAAATTTAAGTTAAAACTATAGTAAAATGGTACTTACCCGTCTGACAGAAATGTGGTATGAGACGAAAATATATCTGACAACATTAAGCAGTTCCGTACTGTTTAATTCTAAATTACCTATATATATATGATAATGATAAAGAGATTCTGAATACAATTGAAAATAATAATAAAAAATATGCATTCGATTTCTGTTATTGTTATTGTGGTTTCTATTTGTTATATAAGCATTAATGGTCAAGATATACGAAGTAAGTGATCATTGAATGAAACCATATTTTTTAAATTAGATATTCGTTTAATATATTTTTGTTCTGCTAATTCAAATCTATGCTACAATGGAGGAACATGTTCAATAGTAGTAGGTAGTACCTTCAAATGTGCTTGTCCTCCAAATTTTAAAGGAATATTTTGTGAAGCAGTTAACGATATAGTTTTGACATTTTTTTATTGTTGAAAAATTATTTTACATTATCTGAAAGATATGAATCGATGCGCTTTTGAAATTTGTGAGAATGGACTGGTCCATTGTGTGACTATCCTACTGGTAACTTCTAATCTATGAATTGTTGTAATATATTATATAAATTTTTTTGAGGCTACAAGTTTCACATTTGATAACAAGGACTAATTGTATTTATTTTGAAATTACACGTAAAGCTCTTTGTAGATTACAGAAAATTTGTTAAGCACAATGAAATTGCTCAATTTTTACTTAAGGATATCTGGATATACGAAATCATGTAACTCAAAATAATCCCTTCGAAAGTAGAAAAGTAACAATTTTACCAAGTTTGTAACTGTTATGGAATATATACGAAATTTACGCAGAAAAAAACTAATAAAAGATTACCTGCTATTTCTATTTAGTTTTCTGCTTCAAAAAAAACAACAACAAAATACTATAAAATTTTGATTGACTTTCTTATTAACTGATATATATATTAATATTCAGTCGATTAATTATTAAAAAATAAAATAACAGAAACAAAATAAAAATAAAAATAAATCACCGGATCATTATATTCTTTAGATATTTTCAGTTGTCACACAATAATAATGCCATCCACCACTCCATTCTACTTTTTTACATCTCATATGACGAAATAATGGATTCATACGATGTAATTGTTTTATATCTTTAATATATGTTTGTTTAAATGAACAAGAGAATCGTTGTAACCATGGTACACGTGTACTAAGTTCTAATGCAAGTTTTTCAAAATCATACAAGGTTAAACTATCACATGCTATATAAAGATAGCGTAAACATGGTAAATGAGATAATAATGGATATAAATCATCTAATTTATTACATGTATTCATAGTTACATGTAAATGAATTAAATGTTTATGTTGATAATTTTCTGGAAGAGTTGTTTTCGATAATGAAGTATCAGGCATCCATCGGA